CGCGCCGTTCGATTTTTTGTTTGTTAGTCATTTCCCGGTAATAATATCGTTTCCATTTTCAAAATATGATCGGACCAATAATCATACATATAAAATATCTACCATGTATGTAAATAAAAATTAAGCACTCTCCGAAAGGATTAAAAATTGTAGAAAAGACTGATTACCCGGAGATGCGATATTTTTATTTTATAATTCCAAGAAAATTCCAAATTTTACAGCGCAATTTCAAGAGTCGATGCTCTTTCAACTGCTGTGCTATCATTTTATGAAAATCATAAAACAAGGAATAGATGTCTTTTGATATTTGTTAGATTGATTTAAAGCCGATACATTCGACTTCAGGGGATTTTCGGAAATTAATGAATACGCGATCAGTTCCTTTTTCAAAATATGTATTCATTTTTTCTACTTGAGTATATATAAATTCATATATTTGACGCAAATGTGCGATATGCATTTGCTTCAATCCTCCTACCGCAGGCATTTTACGAACATAAAAGGGGCCAAGTCAAATTTAAATTATACAGTTTATTTAAATGAACTACCTATGTAAATTCATTCTTATTTACTTACTCTACATATGTACTACATACTATAACTATTTGAGTATAATTTAAATATTTATGTATTGCTTCAGTTCGTTTGCGAGTACTTAAAGTAAAAAAAAAATCATAAATTATAATTTAAGGCCGCAAGCCAGAAGATATTTTATCGATTCCATTTCTATTGGTCGGCTAGTGAATCACTTTAATTAAATTTTTTTGATAAAATTTGTTGTCGAAATTTCCATAACCCTTTTGACCTCCGTAAACAATAGGTCCAGTGCTCCCGTCTCCAGCATAATTAACTTTGATGATTTTGATTTTTTGGCTGCCATTGCTTGGTCCATTATAGTACGTCCCGACATAAGGGTTATAGTCCTGAATCACCTTAATCGTTTGGACTTCTCGATGGCCACCAAATGTGCCATATTGGCTGTTATGATGTCGGGTGGAAGGACCAGCTTGCGTACCGATGCCACCATGATCAACACTTCGCCCTTCCTCGTTAATCACCTGAATTGCTTTTATTTCTTGATTTCCGCCTTCTCCACTATGACCCCCATTGCCGACATTCCCACCGTGCCCCGCTGCTACGCGAATCACTTTAATAGTTTTGATATCTTGGTGCGCCTGCCCTCCACCCTCAAGAGGGCTGTTTTCGTCTTCGATCAGAATAAGTTTAATAGTTTCACCCTCTTGCTGTACAGCGTTACCGTCATTTTCATGGCCAACATCACTTTCTGTATCTGATTCTTTAACTTCAGGTGTCACCTCTGTGTCTTTCGCGTAAAGGTCTCCAAAGGCTCTACGTCCATTATAAACATACGGATTTGCGTAAACTTTGGGGATTGTTTTAATTAGCTTAGGAACTCCAAAAACAGATTTTGGAACAAGCACTTCTCCGGGCGAAATTGTACGTCCACTTATATCACTATAATCCGCATATACTTTGGGGAATGTTTTAATTACCTTAGAAACCCCAAAATATGGCTTTGGTACAATGACTTCTCTGGGCACCACTGTACGTCCACTAATTTCATCAAAATCCGCATATACTTTGGGGAATGTCTTAATTACCTTAGAAACACCCAAAACCGGTTTTGGAATAATCACTTTTTCGGCCACATCGTCCACAATAAAACTTTTAAGGTCTTTTTCAACTCCACCGTAGAATCCACTTGCGGCAAATAGAAATCCGGCGTTGCATGAAGCAACCAACATCGTTAAGATACTGATAAGGACCTATAAGCAAAAGTGATGTGATCTTTATAGACTTTGATGCAAGTCTCGCCAGCCTGCAACATACCTTCATGCTGGAAGTTTCCTACCGAGGTACAGATCCAGAAAACTTTTCCAAGCTGAAGTGCCGCAACTTTGCGATAAACTAATTGTGATGCCATTGATTACCATCTGTTTTATATTCCATTCATTTGAACTCTAGTCGAGGCGGAATTCGATGAAATTGCATAAGCAGTGTTTTTCGTGCATCTTTCAACAGCATTTATGAAATGCTACCAAAGATGCCCATACACATGCATATGTATGTAGATATTCGATTGCGCTGTATGTATTTGCCGAACGAAATGCATAGACGTGGAAGAGGTCAATCAATCAATTGCGGCAAATGCTGACCCAAATATGCAAATGTTACCAATAATTATAAGTGGCACGGGCAAGCTGGTTGGGACCGCTATTATGCGCATTCGTTCGTGTTGCTCATTAACGCATTTCAATAAGGGAACTGGTTAACACACGCTGAGCTTGTAAGTCTAACATCTATTTTGCGGGCGTACACACCGTGATCGTAGCAAAACTGGAAAGCAGGTTATCCAAATGAAACAAAAGTACAACCCACATACATATGTATGCACATACATACGCAGTCTGACACAAGAGCAGATCAGCTCAAGCAACTACATACTGCTGTCAACAGCTGTTGCTTGAGCTCGTCTGCTCTTTTGGCAGAGTGCCAGGCCACTTGCTCAATTTGGTGAATACCACTAATGTTTACATTATCCTATGTATGAAAATATACGGTATAGCAGTTTAGTTTGAATTTACTCTATAAGAGTTTGAAAATTTGCAAATCGTCTGTCTGATCGGCAATAACTCCAAATGTCCCAGATAAACTGTTTTCTATCCGCTATCACATTGTGGCCGGAGCCCAGTGAATAAAATCTAAGTAAATACATACCGAGTCGAACGTAGAAAGAGAAGTGTTATATTAAAGCTTTGTTTAAAGCTTCAGCCAAGCCTGGGTGAGGTTTTGAAGCAAAAACCTAAGCTATTCGTCATGTTTCTCTTTCCAATACTTCCGTTCAGCATTTCGTCAGATACAGCGTCTGCGATTTCTTCCTAGCCTTAGTTCGCATTTCTACGCTAATTATACAGGACTGCGAAATTTAAATTTTATTTCCCCCCATTAATTAGGCTATTGTTTTGATCATTTAAGTATGTTAAATTAAACTGCATCTTTGGTTTTTTTCTAGCACGTCGAAATATTTTTTTTTATTGATGGCATGTGTGTAGGTATATTTTAGGATTTCTAGCGATTTGCATGAAAAGCCAAAAATTAATGAGGTGAGATCTTCATATACCACATACAAACCTCAATGTTCAAATGAAAAAAAAAACAAGTAAGTAAATTATTTTTGAGGTGCAGAGTAAAGAGCGTGTCAGACTTGGCAATATTTACAACCTTCACCCGCGATTCGCTGTCAAATTGAGAAAGATAAATTTTATTTCCATGTGTGAACAGACAGGAAGACCTTGCTGTCACTTTTCGGTAATCAGTTTCAGAAATGAAAGTTGCAAGGTGTGACTGCAACTCAAAACGCGCAGTCGGAAATATATTTCAACTTGGTCGTGCTGCACAGCACTCTGCAATTCGCCTTCCGGAAATAACTCCGAATAAAACTCTTTCGAAAGACACTTTACATACAAGGTGTGACTGCTCAAGCAACTGCTTTCTGAAATTTCTCAATTTGCCACGTCTGACACCCTCTTAAAAGCTTTCACTAGAATTCGGCCTTTTTCATATGATTCAACTGAT